TTGTTCATTACAAACAAAAAAAAAAACATCACTCAAGAGCCATAGTCAGATAATCGATATTTTCAATTACTGACACAAATTAATCATCCTGTGCAGATAAAGTCGTGGAAATTCTGTTGTCCGGGTCACATTTACATCAGATGCTGCTTTGGGTGAAATGTCTTAATGCTTTACAGTGTTAGCTGCAATGACAAGCAAAATGTGGTTCTCATGACATGTCAGCTGGGTGGCTTGCTTGCTTTAGCTGGAAGGAGAGGTCAGATTTATTCATTCTGACCTAAGTGACGATCGCTTTGAGTTCAAATGGGCCACACAAGAAAAAAATTAGAAAGACGCTCAAATACTTTTCCTCATCTCTTCATCTCACTTTTTGCAGACACATTAGGATAAACAATACCCACTCCCCTTTCCGAGTACCATCAAATGAAGATACATCTGAACAACAATAAAAAAAATTTTTTGTTTTGTTTGCAAAACTCAAACGGATTAAGTACAAAACAGGACCACTGTTCATCACAGAAAAGTCTTGCCTTTAAAAAAATGGGGAAGGAAACAGTAAAAAGTCCACAAAACAAAAACACAAGTGTCCCTCTGTCATTAGTAATTCCAAGACCGGAGCTGCAAAATCACTCTGTGCTAGAGCGTGGCGCCACTCGGCACAAAGCTGAGAAGTAGAAACCCTGTGGCCTGTCCTGTCTCGGCTGTGTTTTGGATGTAGGGAAGATGGAATGTCAGACAGCCAGTCGGCCTGGAGGGGGAGGGACTCCAGGTTGGAGGTGCAGGTGGGGGTTCTTGGGGATACGGGCGTGGTTCGCAGCACGGCTGGTTCTCTACTTTGGCTACGCTGCGACCCTGGCACAACCGCCGATGCCGCAACAGTCGGTCTGTACGTGAAAAGTTCTTTAAAACACAAATTGGACATGGTTAAGAATTGGTTAAATATTAATTAGGACCAAAAACTAACAAACAGGGGCCTAACATGAAGACACTGGTCTTCATACTCCATATTTAATACATACAAATGAATTTTCTTTGTAAAGGTTAAGGCTAGTCATTTTCTATATTAATAGTATTGTCAGCAATCTCCAGCTGAGAATGAATTACCTTTACTCACAGTTAATGTCTGACAGTGTGTCAGTCCTGGATTAAGATTGTTTGTCTGTACCATAGACCTCCGTTGTTCAAAAGCAAAACAGGGAAACACACCACTGTAATGGGTTCTTGGGGATACGGGCGTGGTTCGCAGCACGGCTGGTTCTCTACTTTGGCTACGCTGCGACCCTGGCACAACCGCCGATGCCGCAACAGTCGGTCTGTACGTGAAAAGTTCTTTAAAACACAAATTGGACATGGTTAAGAATTGGTTAAATATTAATTAGGACCAAAAACTAACAAACAGGGGCCTAACATGAAGACACTGGTCTTCATACTCCATATTTAATACATACAAATGAATTTTCTTTGTAAAGGTTAAGGCTAGTCATTTTCTATATTAATAGTATTGTCAGCAATCTCCAGCTGAGAATGAATTACCTTTACTCACAGTTAATGTCTGACAGTGTGTCAGTCCTGGATTAAGATTGTTTGTCTGTACCATAGACCTCCGTTGTTCAAAAGCAAAACAGGGAAACACACCACTGTAATGGGTGACATGTTTCTTCATTAGGAAACACCAGACCTGAGCGTGAAAAGCTAGCAAAATGTAAACAAAGCTGAGATTCGTTCATTTTCTTCTGCTCATCCAAGAACGGGCTGTGGTGGCAGCAGGTTCAGCAAGTAGTCCAGACATCCCCCTTCCTGGCAACATTGTCCAGCTACTCTGCCAGGATTCCAAGGCTTTCCCAGGCCAGATGCCATATGTAATCTCTCCAGTGTGTCCTGGGTCTACCCCGGGGTCTCCTAATGGTTGGATGTGCCTGGAAGACCTCGAAAGGGAGGCACCCTGGTGGCCTCCTGATAGGATGCCTGAACCACCTCAACTGGCTCCCTTTGATGTGAAACAGCAGTGGTTCTACTCTGAGCCCCATCTGGATGTCTGAACTCTGCCCCATATCTCTAAAACTAAGTCCAACCACCCTGTGAAGGAAACTCATTTCAGCCACTTGTATTTGTGATCTTATTCTTTCAGTCACTACCCTCAGCTCATGACCATAGATCAGGGTTGGAGCGTAGACTGACTGGTAAATTGAGAGCCTTGCCTTTCGGCTCAGCTCCTTCTTCAACACAACGGTATGGTACAACATCCACGTTACTGCTGATGCTGCCCCTTCTGCCTCTCAATCTCACACTTGATGTTACCCCAACTTGTGAACAAGACCCCAAGATACTTAAAATCACAAGATTGGTGACAAGGGACAGCCCTGATGGAGACAATCGCCAACTGGGAAAGTGTTTGACTTATTGCAGAGCATGGAGACGTACTGTAGCTCACACTCTGGTTATACAAGGACAGGATGACTCGTACCAGTGGCCATGGCACCCCATACTCCTGAAGTACCCCTCACAAGATCTCATGACAGACCTGGTCATAGGCCTTCTCCATGTCCATAAAACACATGTAGACTGGATGGGAAACCCCAAATCCAGTACAGACAGCTGACAGACATTAATAAAGGCAATTCATTGTACGTTTTAGTCTCTGTATGGAGATTGCTGAAAATACTATTACTATAGAAAATAGCCAGCCTTATCCTTTAACATTCATACATACCTGCTGGCATCGTTCACACTGATAAGGCTTCTCCCCACTGTGGACACGCTTGTGTCTCTCAAGGTGGTAGCGCTGGATAAACCTCATATCACACATGTCACAAGCAAATGGCTTCTCTCCTAAAAGAGTACACAAATACACAGTCAATGCATCAATTTTAGCGTCTCGAACCAAAAAACTGTGTGCAACGTTCTCTTGGTAATCTTTCTTCACACACTACATTTCCAACACTTACAAAACGTTAGGGGAAAAACTGCCCTGTGTAATTTCAGCATCTGAAAACTGATATGGTACAAGGCCTCGTCATCAACTCATTATGTGCAGATCAGAGTGGAATTTCTTGTTTTCATGGCCCAGATCTATGCAACGTAGTGAACCCACAAAACAGGGGCAAGTATTTTGAGGCTGGTTCAACATCCCATCAAATGATATGGCAATCCAAACTCGAGTTTGCTGTGACCCCGTTCTGCTGAAAGCGCTAGAGCCGTCCTCAGTAATAGGGGTACGGTAAAGGAACGCATACCCGTGTGGGTGAGGCTGTGTCTCTCCAGGTGGTTACGCTGAATAAACCTCATGTCACACACGGAACAAGCATACGGCTTCACCCCTACACACACAGAGCAATATATTAGCCCTACCACTCACAGGTGCAAGAAATGTAGCTCAAGCTAGCACAAGGACTAAAATACAGGTTGAGACAATAACTCATCCTAATTCCAGGGTTTTAATGTGATTTATTTTTTTCTAAAAATATGACTGTTTGACATGTAGCTAAAAATACAGCCGAGTTAAACTTTTGTAAAATATGTAGAGCTAAACAAGCAAAAACATCAAGTTCTGCACTGTCACTTTGTTTTGTCAGAACAATCATCACTGACATCCTCACCTATCACCACAACAACTACTTCAGAGTCCTCTCACCATCTGATCTGTTATGCCTGTATATTATGCCTTTATTCATACCACAAAATGAGTAACACATGACCATATTTTAACTTTTTAAAATTTTCCTTTTTTTTGTAAAGATGCTGTAAAAAGATTTCATCATTCATTATTTTTAATCATATTTTTAATACTTGACAAATTCCCCACAATGCAATCAAATGCTATCATACATGCAAAATTAAGGTAGTTTATGATACATTTACAGCAGATGTTTGGAAGTTCTGTGCTGCTTAACACAAACAGCCCTTTCAGGCCGAACAATACATGGCCAGTAGGAGTGGGTTTCAAAAACTTGTTCTGATTTTACAGTGTAGAACAACTCTGGATTGTTTTAGCTTTGTGCTCATCAGATATAATTACTGACTTCTGTCAGCCAAGTCTGGAGCTATAACAATTCATTCACAAAAACAAACTAACAAAAATAATTCATGACAAATGACTAGATCAACCCAAAATGTTTTTTGTTTTTTTTTTGCTTTCATTACATTTTGTTTTTTGTTTCTGCATTTTAAGCTGAGAATTGCAACCAGAACTTAATTTTCAAGATATTTTTAAAAAAATTCACAATAGGTTTATTAACACTAAATCCCAGCCTAACTGAAAGACATGTTCAGTCTTGTACCTATACACATTATTCCTGAATTGCCCTCCAGTATTACTGGTATATTGTGCATTGTAAAAATTAAAAGCTGCTTAATCACTGCAGAAATGTAAGGCCTTCTCATGAATGAACTTAATGTGACCAAACAGCTAGTCAAAATCAAAACCTACTGGCCTGTAGAACTCCCTGACAACCACCTTCTTCAAGACAGAATTATTAAAGGGGAAGGAGGCAAACCGACAGTATCTCCACAACACAGTATTAGGCTGTGTTTAGACTGACATGAGTTCCTGCCTGACAAAAATGCAACCCGCCCACTCATCTGAATGGAGCTTGTATGTCGATGCAATGCAAAAAGCTCCAGCAAAACAATGAACTTAGCTCTGCTCCCTAATGCTGGTCAAATATACAGTGTTTATACTGTATATGCAAGCACACATTCCCGGTAGATTACTTTGTAACATAATCACCGTATTTCTACGTTACCTCTCAACAGTCTTTGCTGACGCTAATTTTGTAATTGTAAAACCCTGTCTAGGAAAAGCCTATTACAAACCATCTAAGAAGCCTTTTGTTACTTTAACTGGACCCCGACAAGTGTGTTTCATGTCTCACTGGTATCTTGAACAACATCAACACAACCTCATGTGCTGTTTGAAAGCAGGACTGTGTTCAAACAGCTTAGTCTAACTGGGAGTGTGTAACATACACTACTCGCCAACAATTCTGGAGGGCAACATTCATTGTTGCTTAATAATTTACAATTTATTTTGAGCACAAGCCACACAAATATGAAACAAAAAGTAAAGTGGTAACTGAAAAGTCTTCCCAACAGCAACTAAGCTGACTGCCAAAGGAAAAAGATACACAAACTTGACTATTTTTGTAACCACACAAAAGCATTATATTAGTACAATAAAGTATAAATGGTGTTCTATATAATGTGAGAAGGGCAGGTGCACGGACCCATACCCGTATGAGTGAGGCTGTGTCTCGCCAGGTGGTAACGCTGAACAAACCTCATGTCACACATGGTACAAGCAAAAGGTTTCACACCTGAATGCAGAGCAGCAATATATTATTTTCAGGACTTCTGTTTCACAATCCATCAATCAGTAATATACTTGAAAATTTTATTTACAATTGATGGGTTGTTAACCACTTTTCACTTAAAAGAAATTTTCACTTCACTTAAAAGGATGCCTGTTAAGGTTTTGGTTTTCCCCAAATCTGATTAAAAATACATCAAACTGTGTTGGTCAGATTTCAAATCCACGACTCAACACATCACGAGCTGATGATGTCACAATCCTGTATTTATTTGCATGTAAAGACTTGTTTTAATGTTGCATTTACATGCATAATGCAGAACAGCATTAATCAAGGAAAATGTGCTTGTTACTAATACAGAATAAGTACCTCTAACAGTCTGTAGCTAACATAATGCAAGTACAGTCTGGTCTCAGTGACATGGGTAAGGTGGGCGGACGCATACCCATATGAGTGAGGCTGTGTCTCGCCAGGTGGTAGCGCTGAAAAAACCTCTTGTCACACATGGTGCAAGCATAAGGTTTCACACCTAAATGCAAAGTAGCAGTATTATATTACTTTACCTCAGTTTCTTCACCAGTACATGTCTAAACTATTGGTTGTAAACCACATATTTGCCAAATCATGCAAAAACAAAAAAAGATATGTCACATTTGCTTCATGTTCACAACTATATTTACCAACAAAAACAACTATACAACTGACCATTTTAGTTGTAGCACTGACTAAGATACTTTGCCATAATCACGCTAAAGAGTTACATTTACCGTCAGGGAGCACTGTCATCAATACCTTTACTTTTATGTGCCTCATGTTAATATACTCCAGTAGGATTTAAATCATTTAATAATTAACCAGGTATTTTGCTCAATCGGTGTCCTTAAAGCACATTTCAATGTGAAAGCATAATGGCACTATATAGTATATTTTAAGTAACACTGAATGTTTCCACCAGTCATGGCACCTATTAAAACGGGGCTAATGAATTAAGCTATTTCTAAGAACTGTGGTGATCAAAAGTGCAGTAAGAGGAGAAAGGCACAGAAAGAAACCAAATGTGCCTGCACTGCTGGTTTTTTAGAGTCTTCTTGGGCTATTGTTAAAATGTGCTAAATGTTCTAGAGGGTACCAATTATGTGAATTAAATTAGTTTATCCAAACTTGGGATGGTTACAGAAATTTAACAGCGGTAGCAAATACCTTATTTTAGACAGCTACTAATCCTGTACTATCACTACAATAAGACATTTGTTTTGAGACTTTTTACCCTACCGATATTAGCAAAATACAGACAGTGTAATAATGACCTACAGGATGTGAGATGGGCAGGTGCACTGACGCATACCCGTATGAGTGAGGCTGTGTCTCGCCAGGTGGTAACGCTGAACAAACCTCATGTCACACATGGTGCAAGCAAAAGGTTTCACACCTAAACGCAGAGCATTAAGGTATTATTTTCACACCTTCTATTTTTGTGTTCACAATCCATCAATAAGCTGTTTATTTCAAATATCAGGATTGATGGGTTGTTAACCACTTTTTCAGTAGTTCCAGTCAAATGCCAAATTTTCTTGATGAGAAATTGGTTGTTTGTAGTTGTTTTTTCCCTCCAAATCCGATAAAGAAAACATCTGAATGTGTAAAGCCAATTCTCAAATCCACAACTAAACACATCACATGAGCTGATGATGTTACAGGACTTTATTTCTTTACACATAAAAACTTGCTTTAATGCTCCATTTACGTACATAATGTAGAGAGGAGGCCTGATCAAGAAATCCTTCTGCTGGTCAGTGGGGGAAAAAAAAAACAAACCCTAATAACTGCCTTAATGACTGACTCCATATCTAACATAATGTAAGAACAGTCTGGTCTCAGTGACATGGGTAAGGTGGGCGGACGCATACCCATATGAGTGAGGCTGTGTCTCGCCAGGTGGTAGCGCTGAAAAAACCTCTTGTCACACATGGTGCAAGCATAAGGTTTCACACCTAAATGCAAAGTAGCAGTATTATATTACTTTGCCTCACTTTCCATTTTGTAATTTAGAAATTCATATCTACGCTATTGGTTATTAACCACACAATTGCCAATTCATGCAAAAACACAAAAGCTTTAAAAAATAAAATGAAAAATCTTTTATAATGCTTTTATCCGTTTTAGAGTGATGTAGTTTCCAACAAACATTCAAACATAGTTGAAATCATGTATGGCTATCCTGTTCAGCTGATTAGACAAATCAAAACTCTACATTTGATATTCTCTTAAATATTAACAGGCATACGTCTGAAGTGAACTAATAAAATTTAATGTGCACGGGTTCTAACACTGAATGTCATGGGCACGGTGCGCGGACCCATACCCGTATGAGTGAGGCTGTGTCTCGCCAGGTGGTAACGCTGAAAAAACTTCATGTCACACATGGTACAAGCATAAGGCTTCACACCTAAACGCAGAGCATCAAGAGAATTAATTGTGTCTCTGCCACCAAAAGAAAGAAAATAAATCTGTACGTCTATATGACAACTAAAGAACACCAATCTGGGCTAAACTGGTATCTGTGGTTAATAACCAATGTCATCACCTAAAATAATTTACAAAGTTAGCATATAATATAATAAGATGCTTGTTTCAAATTTAAGAAAAAGTTACCAGTCTAAAATCCACTTAACAACACATGAGAAGATGTCATCTAATGGCTATTAATGCTTTAAATAAATCCCATCCATCACAATTTGTGTATGAATACAAATATTCAGGACTAGATCAAGCACTCAGATGTTGCAGCATCCTAATCTTGTGACTGGGTTAAGATTGGCAGACGCATACCCATGTGAGTGAGGCTGTGTCTCGCCAGGTGGTAGCGCTGAAAAAACCTCTTGTCACACATGGTGCAAGCGTACGGCTTCACCCCTATGCACACAAAGTACCAGCTTTAGCATAAAAAACTCAACTGCCAAAAATGATCGATGGTAAACTTTACTAATTGCTTAGTAAAGTTTGGTCGCACTTATCAGCGCTTCATTTACACTGCTATTCCAATTGGAAACATTTTTTTCACATCTGATTGAACTTAAATGGAAACTGCTGAACTTTCATGATCAGTTTTAATTTACAAACTTTAGGGACAATGATAGTGTAGATAGCAACATCAATCTTCAAACCTACAAACTTCACCAAATGATTGGACAAATAAATGAGGTGAAATCGAGCTCCCCAATGGGCACATCCCAACTAGGCTTGTGTTCATAAAATTTCCACAAACTGCAGACGCATTTCTGGAATAAATTTATTACCTTAAAATCTTGAATTTCTGTCACGCTGATCGCAGAGGTTAGACAATTTTAGGCAGTTGGTAAACAACTATGCAGAACACAGTAAGATTAAACATTGGTTTGCAGAGCAACTTCTGTGACTAAACTTGAAAACATATTTCTATTGAAGGAATCTCCTCTGAAAATCATCATACAGAACCCAGGATTTGATTTAAGAATAAACCATTAACTAAGCCCTCTCGTTACACTTAAAAACTGTACTGTAAAACCAGACTGAAGAAAAAGAATATTCTTACACAAAATGCGTTTTCAAATACAGTGGTGTGAAAAAGTGTTTGCCCCCTTACTGATTTCTTATCTTTTTGCATGTTTGTCACACTGTAATGTTTCAGATTGTCAAACAAATTTATATATTAGTCAAAGATAACACAAGTCAACACATCATGCAGTTTTTAAATGAAGGTTTTTATTATTAAGGGAAAACAAAATCCAAAACTATATAGCCCTGTGTGAACAAGTGTTTGCCCCCCTGTCAAAACACTGGTTTATCGCACCTGAGTTCAATTTCTCTAGGTTATAAAGCCATTTCTAAAGCTTTGGGACTGCAGCGAACCACAGTGAGAGCCATTATCCACAAATGGCGAAAACATGGAACAGTGGAGAACCTTCCCAGGAGTGGCCGGCCGACCAAAATTACCCCAAGAGCGCAGCGACAACTCATCCAAGAGGTCACAAAAGACCCCACAACAACATCCAAAGAACTGCAGGCCTCACTTGCCTCAGTTAAGGTGAGTGTTCATGACTCCACCATAAGAAAGAGACTGGGCAAAAATGGTTTGCATGGCAGAGTTCCAAGACGAAAACCACTGCTGAGCAAAAAGAACATAAAGGCTCGTCTCAGTTTTGCCAGAAAACATCTTGATGATCCCCAAGACTTTTGGGATAATACTCTGTGGACAGACGAGACAAAAGTTGAACTTTTTGGAAGGTGTGTGTCCCATTATGTGTGGCGTAAAAGTAACACCGCATTTCAGAAAAAGAACATCATACCAACAGTAAAATATGGTGGTGGTAGTGTGATGGTCTGGGGCTGTTTTGCTGCTTCCGGCCCTGGAAGACATGCTGTGATAAGTGGAACCATGAATTCTGCTGTGTACCAACATATCCTGAAGGAGAATGTCCGGCCATCCGTTTGTGACCTCAAGCTGAAGCGAACTTGGGTTCTGCAGCAGGACAATGATCCAAAGCACACCAGCAAGTCCACTTCTGAATGGCTGAAGAAAAACAAAATGAAGACTTTGGAGTGGCCTAGTCAAAGTCCTGACCTGAATCCAATTGAGATGTTGTGGCATGACCTTAAAAAGGCAGTTCATGCCCGAAAACCCTCCAATGTGGCTGACTTACAACAATTCTGCCAAGATGAGTGGGCCAAAATTCCTCCACAGTGCTGTAAAAGACTCATGGCAAGTTATCGGAAACGCTTGATTGCAGTTGTTGCTGCTAAGGGTGGCCCAACCAGTTATTAGGTTTAGGGGGCAAACACTTTTTCACACAGGGCTATATAGTTTTGGATTTTGTTTTCCCTTAATAATAAAAACCTTCATTTAAAAACTGCATGATGTGTTTACTTGTGTTATCTTTGACTCATATATAAATTTGTTTGACGATCTGAAACATTACAGTGTGACAAACATGCAAAAAGATAAGAAATCAGTAAGGGGGCAAACACTTTTTCACACCACTGTATGTAACAATGAAACTAAACTATTCAGAGAATTGTGTGCTGTTTACTCACCATTACTTTGAACATGAAATGACAATGACTAAACTGTATGAGTACTCAACTCTACATTTGCATGTTTTCATATTTTACAAGAAAAAAAAAAATTCATGATGAGAATTTCAGGCTAATATAAAAGTCCCATTCATATCGACTGAAAGCCCAAACAGTGTTTTTACCCGGCAGCTTTAGGCCACATGCTAATCTTTTGCAAAACCAAGTCCTTTATAATGAGTTTGTTTATCTTTAGATATACAAATGCCTAAATCCAGAACTGATCAGCTGTACACAGTCACACACTCACAGCTGGTTTTTCCAGTTATGGCATTCTTAAAAATGCAAATGTGGTATTTTCAGATGAAAGAACAGACTGTTAAAACTTTCCTGCTCTATTTGACTAATTCCAAAAACAGTTTTTGACATGTATCAAAAACAGAGAAAGGAGACCTGAATATGCAGTTATGTCTTTGAGTCTGTAAGTCACAGACACTAGTAAGCACTGGAATTAAAGTTTTGTTACATGCTCTTCTAATCTGTTATACAGTTTCATGTATTAATCAGAATCTGGCTGTTTTTGGAATTATTTAAGTAAAAAACAGGATTTATGTTTGTGCTACAAAACACATTAAGAAAGGTTGATCAATATGAAGCTCTTTTGTTCTTTACCAGAAAGATTTTTCATTACATGAGGCTACTGGACTGAACATGTAGTCCATATTGTATTGTGCCACAGTAGAATTTATTGCTGCAGCTGAACTGAGCCGGTTCAAATGCAAAAAAAGTCTGAAAAAAAGTTCTTCAGCAATGTGAATGCTTTTTTGATTGTAGACAACAAAAAAAAGGTACACAGGTTTTGTTTGTTTTATGCTTCACGATCATATTGTCATTTCATATACAAAGTACTGGTGAAACTGCTGCTATGTAACTGCTATTTAAGCAGTAGTTGCTACATGAAACATTAGAGCTTGTCAATATAGTGACAGAAAGCAATACAAACTCAAGTTTTATCAGTCATGTAGTTAATGTGGGGCGCATGCAATAGCAGAGTTCGGGAGCGAGAGGGTCAAAGTTAAAACAGCGAGGACATACCTGTATGAGTAAGACTGTGTCTCTCCAGTTGGTAACGTTGTATAAACCTCATGTCACACATGGTACAAGCATACGGCTTCACCCCTAAACAGAGTGCAAGAATGTCAGATGAATTTCAGTGTAGCCATGAAGGTAATGAACACCAGGATTTCAAAGACAAAATGATTTTAGATTTGTTTAGAAATGAGTGCTTTATTACAGAGAAAATTCTGAGACATTACACAAAAAAAGTGTCTAACCTGCAGACATCAAGAGTTACAGTGCATCATTAGGTTTAAACAAGGCTTACATGTAGCGGTTTGGACCAACTTGAGCAATACAGTCACCCTGCCAATAAACTGTTGATGGTGGCGAAAACCCCATTTTTACCCCATGGTCAGGATGCACATTTCACCATTCCTATACCCACATGATAAAATCTTAGAAAATTAGAAAATGTATCATTTTTGTTGTTGATATTTTATTCTATTGATGCCTGCATGTACAACACTTTTTAGTGTAATGTGTCTTTCTTTGATTATGCAACAACACAGAGTCACTTTCTCAGTGGACAGTTTTCCAACAAAGCCTAAAAATTCTATTAAACATTTTTTAGAAAGGAAAAGTTATTTACCAACTGTGAACAGTGGCATGATTATGGTATTGTATATAGAGGGACTTAATAAAAAATAATGTGTAGATTCATATGAAAGGGGAACAATTAATTCAATCATACCAGTATGAGTGAGGCTGTGTCTTGCCAAATGGTAACGCTGGAAGAACCTCATGTCACACATGGAGCAAGCGTATGGCTTCACCCCTAAATGCATACAGTACCAAACTTTAGAAAAGTGTTTTCATGAACTATGCACACAAAATGTGTCAATTATATACACTAGTCAGTGTTATGTCATTACAAGGTCTCGTGTGTTTTCATGGTCAACTAGTCTCTATGCATACAAGACATACAAGGATTCTCATCAACCCTAAAAGCACTTAGCAAATATATTAATTACAACAAATGGGAAAAATCCACCAGTGCTTAACATTTAATCTTACACAGTCAAACACAATGAGTAGCACAAATTACAAGCAAGGGCAAATGTCTACAAACCCTGGTACAGTCAAGTGAGAAGGATAAGTAAAACTTGTACCCGTATGGGTGAGTGTGTGTCTTGCCAGGTGGTATCTCTGGAAAAATCTCATGTCACACATGGAGCAAGCATATGGCTTCACCCCTGCACACACAGAGTGAAATATTTTGTATAATTAACACACTGAATTAAAAAGGGCACACTCACTCATTATGTATCCAGACATGCCAAAAGCAGTGGCACCAGTATAGTGCAACACTAAATGTATTCATCTAACATTTTCAATACTGTCAACATGCATGAAAAAAAAGGACCTTTAAGTAAACATCTCTTTGCTGAACTCAGTGCAGTGAACTTTCACTGCTGAGATGCACCGAAAGGTCAAAACAAATCTCTAAACTCAAGCCAAGGTTTAATTTACAGGCACTGTGTGAAGTATCAACAGATAACTTGGGAAATGATAAAATAGTGTTGTAAAAGGCAAAAACTGAAAGGCTCCTCCAGCATGCCCAAACAATTAAAACTACTTGATGCTTATAAAGATCTTGAAAACCAGACTCAAGTCAACTAGGAACAAGAGACAGCAATACTTCGATAAGCTGGGTATTTGGGCTCTAATGTAGCAAAGAAGGGCAAACCCGTACCGGTGTGAATGAGGCTGTGTCTTGCCAAGTGGTAGCGTTGAAAAAATCTCATGTCACACATGGAGCAAGCGTATGGCTTCACCCCTACACACATAAAAGGTGTCAAATATTAGCCAGAAACAGAAAAAATTAAGTTTCAACACATAACTTCTCTTGGAACAGGTCTTTTTTTTTTTTTTTTGCTTCTACACATTACACCATCAGCATGAAAATCAAATGCTTGTTTCGCAGGACATGGTTTTGTGTACTGTGACCACCAAAGAACAATGTAGAATATTCATCAGTGGGAAAAGCTGAAGTTGTGTATATTCAGGTGCCCCATTGTGTGTGCACGTCACATCAATTCACATCAAGAGCTAAAAATGTTGCACTTTATATTATTTACCAGCCTAACACATGTCTAGATACACCTATGGTTTCTGAATATGTGAATATTTGAACTGGTCATTTTTAGCCAGCCTAAATCTGTTTGCATGGCTGTGAGAGGACAGCTAAGGCACTTCTAAAAAACACTTATGACTCTTGAGCTAGGGTAACCAGATGCATACCAGTATGGGTGAGGCTGTGTCTTGCCAGGTGGTAACGTTGGAAGAACCTCATGTCACACATGGAGCAAGCGTACGGCTTCACCCCTACATGTACAAAGTATTAGCATATTAGCTAAGATGTTCCTTTTGCATCAAAGGAAACAACCATTCAGACATTAAATCACTAGGACCTGGCAGACTTTACACATTCCAATTGTGCTTCATGCAAATTGGTGATTTGTTCAGTTCTAATTAGTAAAAGTGCCTCCCGTAATGGGAAGCCTTCATTTTCATATAATCTGGAGTACATAATGTAACAAAAGCAGCAACAGGATATAAGCCTAGCATGTTTAAAACAAGAAAAACAAGTCAGCAGGGAGACAGCAAAGCAGCATCTAAGACAAATCACACTGGCTGGCTGAAGCAGAACTGGCAGTACGTTGCCAATTACTAGCATCCACAACATTTTAGCATTGAGGTGAGCATATCTGTTGTAACTTACTGCAAGTTAAAACTGGTACAACATCTACCTTATGCATAGCGCACATTAATTCAATTTATGATGGAACAACACTATGTGTTGCATTCAAGTGTGCTTGTTTTTGTTGATCTTCCTCAACTTTGAACACTCCCAATTTGATCTATGCCATAAACTTACAACAGAAGCATCTGTATAAGCAACTGTGCAATGCAAATCTTATTTTCAAAAGCCAGACAACTACAGTTTAGAAAAAAGCTCTGCAGCCATTGGTCGGCATGTAAAATAAGTGCGGACATCAAAGGACTATTCCCTTATTATACCATGGCCAAAGCAAATCAGCTACTTTGGCATAACTGCAGGGCATTCAACTCTAAAATGTTTGACTGAAATAATGTGGGATTTATTTTCACTTTCTATTAAAAGTTATGCAGAACACTGACTACACTGCAGAGTGAAATAGTCTCCTGAAAAAAAATCAGTTCCTACAAACTGCAATTCGAAATTCAATTTTGTCCTTATATTGTGACAATTCACTCTCATCTCTTATACTGCAGCTGTGACTACCTTATACTGACCTCTGAGTTTATATAATGTGAAGAACAGGTACACTACTGTATACATAAGTTATATCGGAAAGCTAGCTTCAACTTTTAGGGTCTGCTAATATAATAACGAAGCACTGACTATTAGCTTGGAAAATGAATAATATGTATGCACAATATAAAGCCGGAGAAACTTTTGTTTGCGCAGCAATGGTACAAGAGGAATAGTACACTTTGAGGGGTCCACAGAAGCAATTCCATTCATGTCAAGTGTTTACTTACGTCTTTTGATACTAGGGATGCACCGCTACCACTTTTGTTCAGAACAAGAACTTGTATTTGGGTACTCGCCAAATACAAGTAACGATACAAATACTTAATAATAATGCAATGTTTCTACTATAAAAATTACAACTTCCATAAAAGTGCAGTGACTTTATAAAGTTTATATTTTCATGGCATTTACTGTCCAATAGTGATTAAATAAACTATACTGTATAACAGGAGGCTGTACAATTTACCTCAGACGTTTTTGTGATAAACACAGCACTGCCACCACTCCTATGGAATAAAATGTACAACTGACTGAATTTCTGTAGCCTACTGTAATACAGTGGTTTTACAAACCCGATTCCAAAAAAGTTGGGACACTGTACAAAATGTGACTAAAGACAGAATGCAATGATGTGGAAGGTTGAAATTCCAGTATTTTATTCAGAATAGAATATAGATAACATATCAAATGTTGAAAGTGAAACATTTTGAAATGTCATGCCAAATATTGGCTCATCTCGGATTTCAGGGGAGCTATACATTCCAAAAACGTTGGGACAGGTAGCAATAAGAGGCCGGAAAAGTTAAATGTACATACAGTGGGTACGGAAAGTATTCAGACCCCCTTAAATTTTTCACTCTTTGTTATATTGCAGCCATATGCTAAAATCATTTAAGTTCATTTTTTTCCTCATTAATGTACACACAGCAATATCACATGGTCATAAGTATTCAGACCCTTTGCTGTGACACTCATATTTAACTTAGGTGCTGTCCATTTCTTCTGATCATCCCTGAGATGGTTCTACACCTTCATTTGAGTCCAGCTGTGTTTGATTATACTGATTGGACGTGATTAGGAAAGCCACACACCTGTCTATATAAGACCCTACAGCTCACAGTGCATGTCAGAGCAAATGAGAATCATGAGGTCAAAGGAACTGCCTGAAGAGCTCACAGACAGAATTGTGGCAAGGCACAGATATGGCCAAGGTTACAAAAAAATTTCTGCTGCACTTAAGATTCCTAAGAGCACAGTGGCCTCCATAATCCTTAAATGGAAGACGTTTGGGACGACCAGAACCCTTCCTAGAGCTGGCCGTCCGGCCAAACTGAGCTATCAGGGGAGAAGAGCCTTGGTGAGAGAGGTACAGAAGAACCCAAAGATGACTGTGGCTGAGCTCCAGAGATGCAGTCGGGACATGGGAGTAAGTTGTAGAAAGTCAACCATCACTGCAGCCCCCC